GGATTAAAAAGATCGATGTCAGAAGCTACAATTAGTAAAATCGGTAAAGATTAAATTTGAAAATATTTTACATTTATCATAATTTATTTATATTCTACAATTGATTCCATTTTGAAATCGGTTTTATTGCATTTATGTAGCCGTTTAAACATTCTGTTTAAATGAAGAACTTCCGCGAATATTATATATAGAGATAAGTTAATAGTTCTCATCTTTTACAAGCTATGTACAACGCGTATTATTACATCAAGAAATAGTACTCCAATTGGAATAGATCTTTTGCCACTCGATGTCCCATTATTCATACATTCTATTATTGAAACACGCGGTTATTCGTAGAGTTTATTAATCAAATATTATTCTATATAAGTTTTATCATACTATTTTATATTATCGTTGCGAAGACAACTAATATTAATTGTAAAAAGAAATAACGAAAATTTGAATTTGCTAAATATCCTTTTAATTAACTAATAAATAGAATATATAAAAATATATTCAAGAGTTTCGTATAATCTTATTCTACAATTATTACAATTACAATTATTTTGAAATATCTATATTGCATGAATATTGCATCTGAAATATGATATCTCTCATTCATGAAAATAAAACAGAGGTTCTTGCTTTTCCTGTTTAAAAATGGCCACACTGAATCGAAGAAAAAAATGTAGTACAAAAACTCCTAGCCAACTATTCCTATTTCGTCAACAAATATTTCACGCACAACGTTCGACCGATGCAAACTCATCCAATCAAATTTGATCGGATCAAAACGATTATCCATCGATGCGTGGCTCTCTTTTAAACTGGCAGCTTTCCCTGGAAAACATTCAATTACAGGGAAGTGATACCCGGCTTCGAAGCCTCGAAACAAAAGTCGAGAGTGATGGAACGCGCATGAGGAACAACCGTTTCGCGGCCGTTGCGATTTATCTATCGATAAAGCGGGATCAAGGGGTGGAAAGCTGGTTTTCACGGTTCGGGTAAGGATGGCCAGGCTGTAAACAGCCATTTTTATGGACGATAAAGCAATATCGAAAGATTTCCCGGTCGAGCTGCTTTCAATTCGACCAGGCCAATAGAAAGCTTTTCGCCACGCCGGCGAAATATCGAGAAACGGAGGGCTAAATTGAGGGTGGAAACCTCTGGATTTCCGTCGAGAGAGGGATAGAACTTGGATACTCTGATGGATTAGCCGATGAATGGGCGATTCGTTCATCGATCTTTGATAAATTGGATCAGGCACGATCTCTTCGATCGTTCCTCGATCGTTCTTAGACTGTCAGGATAACAAAGGCATTCGTATCAATTTTCTCTTACGTTTACTTTTACTATTTTTCACAACATTTTACATATTTTTATTTTAATATTTTCACGTGTTCGAAGAGGTTATTCATTTTACAAAAAGATCCCCGTCATTCTGGATTGTCATTCCACAATGAAACTCATTTAAATATTACCGTTCATTGTTCCTTCTCTTTTCGACTTTTTTTTGTATTTCGATCGTTTGATTGTTCTTCGTTTTTATTATTTTTTTCATTATTTCCCTTTGAGGGAAATCTAAAAAGTGAAACTGTAAAAAGTTTAAGACAACTCTCGCAAATGAAAATAGAGTTTTTGACGGAATTATAAATCGCTTTACCGATACCACGTGAAATTTTTAATATTGTAATAGAGTAATCATGTATTTCACAAGATATCCTCAAGTGTAAGAATAGATAAGTAAATGTGTTTGACAATCGAATTTATATTTCACGATGATCTATAGAAGTTTCTGGTGGCTGACAAGGAAGAACGGTAAAAATGAACTTTGTGTGACATATGATTAATAAGTGGAAGAATTAAGAAATGTCACTATTTAAATATAGTGGAATTATATAACTCGTAGTTATCGGTACGAATCATTTAAATGAGATGATTATTTTTGGAAGACTTTTTAAAAATTATGATTTATTAGAATATTGATTATAAAAATGTTTTATTTTTTTCTCTTTTTATCCTTCGTACAACAAATATTCCGTTTACAATAGATATTTTATATTATCATATTCATCATATGATTAAATATTACGTCATTCTCTATTTAACTTTATTTTTGTCATCTTGCATCTGCGCTGCAGTCATAGTTCTAACGAAAGATTATCTAATTTTTCTTTTGAACAAATTATGTTCAATATATTCTGCATTTTCTTTAAATTATTACCAATTATATAATTATACGCACAATATTCGGATTAATTTTTCCAAAAATCTATTTTTTCTTTCATTTTTCAGTACAATTATATATTTAATGCACTAAGAAACGTATTTACAAGATTTCTTAATATTAGAAATATAACGAAAAGAAGTGAAATCACAAGATTTATTGGGAAGAGGTTTTAATGCATTGTAAACTTTCGTCGAGAAAAGAATAAGCGTATTACGGAAACAAAATTTCCACAGCCAATTGCAAAAATTGTGGAAAAAGTATTTCACGTGCTCACAATTTACAACACGATTAAACGAACGACTGGTAAAGCCTATATAATGGATGCCTTAACAGGTTCTCGTTCTTGGCAAACGTTCTCCTTCTGAATTTAGCCAAAGACCATTTACTAAAATGTTTATGGTGACTTCTTGAACTAATATCGAAGTTTGGCATCAAAGCGCAGCCTGGAACTTCACTTAGCCGACCAGCATTTTAAGATAACTAATGAATTGATGGCGGGTAGAAAACCGATGCTCCATCTTGAAAGTTTTGATTAATTTGATGAGAAAATTTAAGGATTAAATTGCATATTTTTTAGAATCGTTAAATATCTGTGATTCGCTTCTATTATAAAAATTAAAATAAATTTCGAAACTCGAAAGTAATTTTATCATTGAGTTTCGATTAAAATTTGAAATTAAAAATTAATTATCTAATATCGAGAATTTACTGTTTTATTATATTTAATTAAAAAATATGATATCATAGAAAAAAGATACAAAGCATTCTCGCTTATCATACAATAATATCAAAGGATTCAAGATAAACGAAATACCCTACATTTCATCCAGCGACAAATGGATCATATTTTAATGCTTTAATTCAACAAACTACAAGATCTACAACTACGTAGTCCTTGGAGCACAATATTAGCAACGACAGATCAAGATTTTTCAGGCGAAAGAGCCGCGATAATAGAGCAGATATAAAAAAAGAATCGAAAGGAGTTATCGTTTCCGGCCGCTTTCGGCACTTCCGCTGAGAAGAATCGTTTTAGCGGTCTTAAGGGACGTCCATTGTAATTCCATTATCACCTCCACCCGAATAGCATTAGCATAATAACGAACGGCACTTTTTGAAAGTTCGAGCACGAAGTCCTCTCCTCCCTTCCAGAGGAGGGATCTCATCTGAACGCGATAGAACGCAAGATGCCGGAGCTTTAGAATGTAATTGAATTTAAATTGAAATTATGATCGCGTGGTTGGTGTCGTGTAAGCTTGGCTGGGTCCGAGTTCGCGCAAAGGAATCACGATGGGGTTGTAAACAATGGAAAAAATAAACAACGATGAACAAACACGTGAGTTCAAAGACAAGGGATAATTAATTGAACTAGTTTTCTGGCAACGTTTAGAAGCTTTGTTCAACGATTCGTGAACGTGATAAAGTACGTGGCACGTTGTCTACGTAATATAAATTTTTCCAGATGTAAAGTTGATAGCAATTTTATGGTGGAAAATTTTCTTTGAATTCGGTGGATGCGAATTCGTGTAGATATTATCACGTGATTATTAAAACACAGAATTCGAAACGCTTATAAAAAATGGAACCAGCACTTTAGAAATATCACTAGATGATAAAATATTTTTATTTAAAATTGTATATTATTTTACAATTAATTTGTGAAGATAATGTGTAATGAAAAATTATATATGTGTTAGAAATTCAACTTTTTCATGAATTCTTATCTTGGCAATTATTTAGAATTATCCATCTTTTACATTTTCAGCTTTTTCCATCAAATCGAGTAAGTTGTACAATTTTTAAATTATCAATATTGATTATTTTAAGGTAATTTCATTTATAATAATGTAAGTACAGCGTTCGAGTGGAAGAAATGGATGCATTTCTCGTTTCACCCGTTATACAGAAACAGGAAGGTTATTCCTCCCGGTCAGGTCGGGCCGTCTATTTCAAGCTTGAGGCAATTCGCCAAAATTATGTTAATTGTACGAATTTTCATTTCTAGACCATTCCTGAGCGATGCAGATTACAAAGATGTTCTGTCTTTTCGTATAATCTCTTATATTTATTATACATTTGCAATTAGAGCACAGTATTTTTAACTATTGCTCATCGAAATTGAACTTTAGATTCATATATTTTCATTTATTCGTATTCTGAATAATATGATGTATGAAAATTCATTATGTAATTATTATTTATAAAAATAATTGAGATATAGATTTATAAATTATCAAAATATATATAAATCATTTTATGACATATCAATTTTCATCTTTGTACTTTATATATACATATAATATATACATAAAAGAGAAAAAAAACATAATTTTATAACGAAAATCAGTCGAAAGGAATTAGAAACGAATCACGTATCATTACAAAGTAAAATTTTTCTCGAACGCTGTACTTTCTTCCGCCTTCTCGAAAAGAGAAAAATTGTTCCCGGTTACGCACAATGCTCCATTGTCATTCACCGCACGGCTTACCGGTCGCGTAATCGATGCCACATTTCACCAATAAAACGTTCGGTGACACGCGATTCTATCGCGGCGACGAGCGGCCACGCATAAATCTGCCTTGGAAAAAAAGAAATCGGGCAATCTCGATCGGTAATTTTGCTCGGCGAGTTCGCCGCAATCCGATTGTTCCGCGGCTCGTGGAACCCGAGCCGATCGACGTTTCCGGCACACGGCCCGCTTTTCGATCACCTTCGATCGATCCTGCGTAACGGTGCAGGGGATAAATGTTGTCCGATCGACCAGCTAACTGATTCACTGATTTCCAGGGTGACAGTGGCGCCTACCGATCAAGAGTCAACGTTGGAATCGGCGCCGGTGGTTTCGGGAGGACGACGACCTCTGGAGGAAGCGGCCTTCCGAGTTGCAGGAACAGCTACTCGACCGTCGGTTCCGGTTCCACCCGATTGCCTGCCAAGGAGAGGGTTTCCGGATTCGGGAATGCTTTCCTGAAGAAAGACAAGCACGAGGAGAAATCTAGTTTTAAATATCCCAGTAAGTTGTTTCCACTGTTGTACGTATTGGTTATATATGTATTGGACGATATTGGTAATAGGAAAGATAGAGAAAGAAATATTAAATGGATATAAATTATAATCGAAATCGAGTTATTATTATATATTTGTTTAATAACTATTTTATATATATATGTTTTATATCATTGTGCAAGAATTCTTAAAAAGTTATTAAATATTTGTGATATTGTCTCAAATTAGTCTCTTATGAGATCTATTTAAAGAAGTATATATTTAATACAGAAGAAATCTTTCTTTACATTTCGTGGAGGAACTTTAATTGAATTAAAAAATTTAATAAACGACTCCAGATAACGCACATATATATTCGAAATATAAAAATTTGAAGATTTTAACAGAGAAAAGATTTTAACAGTAAGAGATACAAAAATCACGGCATATTGCGATTTCAGGTAATAAAGACGCCGACAAAGGTAGACTTCACCCGAGTAGGTCGTCGACGGAGGACGTGGGGGCGAAAAGTCCATTATCGAGCAGCAGATCCTCCCTGTTCGAGAAGTACTCGTTTCCAGCTACTAAAACTTCAGAGAGGCCCGCCTCCGTTTTGGACAGATATAACCGTGCCACTTCCCGCGAGAAGAGCAGAGAGCCCGACGTGGTATCGCGATACGGATCCAACACGTATCCCGGATCGAGCTTGGCTCGAACTTATGGAAACGAGAGCAGGATCGAGAAGAAAGAGAGGGCCGATCATCCGCCGGTTTCGTACCGTGGATTGCGGCCTAACTCGGGTAGAAATTCTCGCGAGCCAAGCCCGGAAATCAACGTTGGAAAATCTAACTCGTTCAGAATGTACGCGAGAGCCCCCTCCTACGGTCGATCCAGTGCCACTTCTAGTGAGTGAATCTTCTTTTTCCTTTTATTTTGTTAAAAATAACATTTTCAAGGATAATTTAATTTACATATATAATTGCTATTTCATTTCTAAAAGTTAAATTACCGAGACGAAAATTATATCGCGAAATAATGTTTATTTGAAATGTGAAACTTTATTCATTATTGATTTATTTTTTAAAAGTTAAAGAAGAATTTTGGTTTTTGTATTATTTGGTGTTTTTGTAAATTGTTTTTCGTAATAATTTCGTAAATTCAACTGATATTTTTTTATATTTTCAATATTTTCTCTCTATCTTTTAATATTCGAAATGTTATTACACAAAAAGAGTAAGGAAATCATTTATTTCATTTATTAATATCTTTAATCTTGTTGTATTTCAGTTGTCAAATAATATTTCTTTAAAGGAATCTTAAATTTATATATCTGTAATACTATGTTAGACGATAGTTCCCATAGATATGCGCAGAATCGTAAAACAGTATACCTAAGAAGCTTTGCACGTGATATTTATAGCTATAAATTTTCACACTTGAAAGCAATGTGTCTCGCGGGAAATAGCACTATAATTTGTTCCATAATGAATTTACCCTCCCAGATCACAATGGAAGATAAACTGTCATTTAATAATCCTACTATTGCTTACTACTTATTATTATATCCTATTATTATTGTATTTTATTCGATATCAAAAAATGAATTTATCACAAATATCTTTGTAAATAATTATTACAAATTATTTTATTTTTAATGGTAATCTTCTTAGTAATAAGAAGATTGTCGAGACAACAAATTTAGAAAATGTCAACAAATGGGTATTATAAAAAGATGTAAATAACCTAGACCTAATCTTTGATGTGATAATGATTGATAATAGTAAATATAATTGTTTCTCTTACAGAAGATCATGTATTCAAAATATTTTCTATTCTCCAATCATCGCATCTCTTTAATTTATAGCTATAAATATTACTTAAAGAATTTATTTAACGTACTACATTCGATTTTTACGAGTTTTATTATTATCAATCATATCATTTTTTATGATAATCAGAGAACAAATATAATTACTAAAATAATCATTTAATTATAACTAAAAAGTTTCATATGCTTGAAATGATATGATTTATTAAGTGAAATATTCAATAATTCGTAACAATCTGGAATTAATATTGAACCAGGAAAACTATAACTTACTCGATTCTGAATGTCTCGAAACGTTTTCAGGTGCCTCCGAATCGAGCTCGGCGCCAATCTCCTCGAGATTCGGCTCGACAGCTGGTAGCAGGTTCTTTTCATCGAGAAGCAACAACGACCGAGTTCCGGCAGCTATAAGCTACTCCGGATCGGACAGGTTCCGAACTTCAGGCAGTAAGCCTATGCCGGCGAATTTGAAGGACGAGGAAGCCGCGAAAGCCAATCCAGCGAAAGAAACTGCGCAAGAGATATACGCGAAATCGGAAGAATCGAAACTCGAGAACAGAGTGAAAGACAATGAGACCGTTACGATGGTTACAAGGGGTACATCACCGAGTCCTCCGGCTTCCTCGTCCTTCGTGAGGAGCAGAAGAGCCGACATAGGTATCGCGAATCAGAAGGAAGTGAGTCGGGTACGAAAGAAAATGGAGACAAAGGATCAAGAGGTTCAGAGCGAGAGATCGGAGGATGGTTCGAGGTTCTCTCGATTTGGAGGTGGAGGGCGAATCTCGGGGGCACCGTGGTCCTCGTATCTCGACAAATTCTCGTCGAATTCGAGCGGAAGTGGCGTGTACGCGAGAGGATTCAACGGAGGCAACGCGGCCAATTCGAGGGTGAATAGCTTCGCTTTCCCGAGATCGAACGATGCCTCGAGGAACGATTCTTCTTCGAAGGTATCGCCCAGCTCTAGTCAAGAAATTCATGGGAACAGAAATCAGAACGAGCAGAAAGTGTTCGGCGGTTTGAGCTTCGCGAAAACGGATTCGAAAACGAGCAACGAGCAAGGAAATTCAAATCAGGTGGAGATTAAAGTGCATGATGGTGGCGAGAGACGTGGGTGCACGACAGTTGGCAAGAGCGAAAGGAAAGGTTTGGCGAGCCCTTCGATCTTGAAGAGAGAGGATTCGCCGCAACAAGCCGGTGTTCTCGCCAAGTCACCGGATTCTCGAGAAAGCGTTTCGAAAAGCGAGGAACAGCAAAGTAGCAGGGAAAGTTCGACGTCGAAGAGCGAGAACAATAGTCAGAAGAGACCTTCGATACCGAGATTAGGTCGTATCGCGGCGAAGAACGAAAGCAAGATTGCGAAATCGTCGTCGAATTCGTCGAGCAAGTCGGATGGACCGCGGGAGAGGAGGAGTTCGACGCCTAAATCTGACGCTAGCTCATTATCGAAACTCGATGACTCGTCTAGAATAGTGGAGGGAGGACATTGTCAGGAACCGAGTAAAGAAGCCTCTACGTCTAAAAGTGATAGTGTTTCACCTGCGAAAGATTCTCTTCAAAGGTAGCAGCTCAATTTTACGAAATAAATATTTTCTTTAAATATTTTTAATAATCGTATAGCTCACGTTTTTTGTTATTGTTATTGTAGAAAGAATGAATGAAAAGAATGAATAGAAAAGTAAAATGTTTAAAATTTTCTTAAACATTTTATATTTTGTATTTTTAAGAACGGAAGAAGAACGATTGAAATTTAATTGATTACTCAAAGTGATAATCGAAAAGACGACAGATATTGAAACGTAATCATAATCATTTCTTTGTACCAAATTGTTTCATTACCAGAAACAAACTCTAACATTTATTTTTATCAACTTTGAGCGATCAACTTTCGTTTTTTCGATATCTCTCCCCCATAGCCGATACATTTTCTCACGTACTTGTCACTTTTCCCATAAAAGCAGTAATCCATCGCAGAGCAGATCGACGACACCGCAGTCGCGCAGCGGCTCGGCGAAAAATGTGTGCCGCCAAACGACGAGAACCGACTCCTCGGAAGGGTCCGCTGTAAATGTGCCAATTGGCAGATCGAAATCGTCGTCTGCCAGTTCGGTGACGAGTCAGGGTGCAAAAATAAAGGCGACGCCGCCGCCGTCGCCAGGGAAGTCGTCCGTGTCGAGCGTTTCCTCAGTGAATCTGAGACAAGGCGGTTCGCCGGATGCTCGTGGCAAACCACCTGTGCCTAAGAGCGACGTCGCGTCGGCGTCCAAGGGCATCGTGCAGCCCAAGTACGTGAACAAAGACTTCCGGAAGTCGACGTTGAACATGGAGAACGGGGACCCCTCGCAGTCCAAGTACAGCAGAAAGAAGAAGAACGAGCGTAGCATGTCCGTCAGCTCTCAAGATTCGCAATCCGAACCGAACTACGAATCGAACATCCATCGACCGGCCGTTCCTTCGGAATCCAGCTCAGCCTCTACGAAATCGAACAGGTCGAGGCTGAGGGTACCGTCGTCCTCGCCCTCCAAGAGTATAATAAATAGGAAAAGCGAGACGAGCAGCCTCGCTTCGAGCGTGACCGAGAAATCGAGGAGTGGCTCGAAATCGCCGTCGAGGAAGAGGAGCAAGCAAGACGGGAGCTCGAGTTCGAGCGCGAACAGCGAGGATTCCTCGAATTCGTCGAGCAGCGAGGAGGAGGAGGAGGAGGAGGAGAAGGAGGAGGAGGAGGACGATAAACAGTCGAGACCTGGATCGAGGCCGCGCAAGAGGAGAACGTCCAAGTCCCCTTTCTGCGAGAAGAAAGGGAAGATGAGCGCTGGATCGTCGAGGACGAGCGTGTTGGCCTCGTCCACCGACGAGATGTCGTTGACGACGGATAAACCGCCGAGACCACCGTCCAGCCCGAGATCGAGGAGCGATCGTTCGGGGAAAACCGAGGAGGCTAAGTCGTTTCTGATGAGGGCCCTCGCCCCGGTCACGAATCTTTTCAAGAATAAGCACCAGGATTCCAGCGAGTCGGGTAAATCGGGCGGTTGGCTAGATTCGAACGAGGAAAACGCGGACGTGAAAAGGTCGGAGCAGAACGGAGGGACGACAACGGCGCCTCTGTCGAGAAGTCTGTCGAAAAGTTTGAGTTTCACGAACTCGGAGAGGAACGAGGACAGGAGACAGTCGAGTCAAGCTAGGATCAGACGAAATTTTTCCGGGGAACAGCCTTGGTGGATGGATCCGAACTCCGAAAACGTTCCTGAAGGTGTCGAAACGGGAAGCGCGTGCAATGACGATATTAGTCAAGAAACGACCGTCAGTAGCACCTTACCTGACGATGGTAAGTAAGACGAGTATGAGTAACTTTTTATTTTAAATCTGACGTGATGCATACTTATAATTTTACGGGAAAGAAAGAAAAATGTAAAGGAGTTACATTTACATTTTTACGAGATTCTTGTCCGATTTGTATCTTGTGTTATTCGCAAACATCATAAATTACTAATGATTTAACGGCGCAAGCCACTTAATTATCCTCCCTGGATCGGCTTAATAAAAGTTGTTCCCTCGTTCTTCCCAACAAGGAGGTAAATTACCACGATCCGCGTAGATAAACCGCTCCCCTTAATTATATGTTCCCAGGGAAATTTAAATACAAAGTGTGGAGACAAGAATCGGAGGAACGAGCGTGGTGGTTAGACTCGAACGACAGCGGGGCATCCGAGGACGCGAGGAAGCAGTCGGCGACGATTTCGAGACAAGAATCTGGGGAGAGGGGTTGGTGGTTAGATTCGAACGATAGCGCCCCCTCGGAGGAAACGAAGAGACAATCGTCCTCGGCAGTTTCGAGGCAAGATTCGGAGGACAGGACTCGTTGGTTGGACGGAAATGACAGTGCTTTCTCGGAGGAGGTGAGAAAACCGTCGCGTACGGCGGTGTGGAGGCAAGATTCGGAGGAAAGGGCGTGGTGGTTGAGCTCGAGCGACGCCCCGCCGTCCGACGAGTCGAAGAAACAATCGTCGTCCGTGATATCCATTTCGAAACGAGAGTCGAGCCGTTGCTCGAGCGCTCGATCGAACGAGCGAAGAAATCGATTGAGGCATCAACAGTCTGGAGAGCAAGCGTGGTGGATGACCGACAATCCTGAGAACGTACCCGAAGGAGTCGAAGTCATTCCTACCACCCCTACGTCGAACGGTAACGCTTACAACGACGAGGTGGACGACAGCCAGCCGTACGGCAGATGTACGAACAAGGTCAGGCACATTGAGTCGGGTGAGAAACCATGGTGGATGGACAGCACGTCCAACGTTCCTGACGGTGTAGTCAAGATTTCTGTGGAAACGTCGAACAGCACCTCGGACTCGTCCGAATCGTTCGAGAGAATCGATATCGGTGTTAACCCTGAACCTGAGATATATAAGAGAAGCCTCTCTAGATTCCCTATCGAGTTTCCGCCACCTCCGGCTGACGAGCCACTCGGGGATCGTGCCAGTCCCGAAGGGGTAAAGTGATCATATATCGTGCATTATTCATTTAACGGCCCCTAACTGACGAGGTTGTATAGGTACCTGTTAATACCCTGCGTCGTAAACCTCGCGTACTTGACATCGGGGAGAGAATAAAGTTGCTTTTGTGGCAAGTCTTTAACTTGATTAATAAGTCCTCTCTTAAGTAATCGAGTGGTTACTTTAAAAGCTGGGCAACGTGTAAACTTTGTTGTCGCATCGCGTTACGTTTAAAGTCGTTTTATGCATATTGGATTATGGACTGAGGATTTTTATGCAAATATGCAAATTTTGCATACTTTACGTAAACGATATATTGACGAATATATCGTATATTTTTCTCGGGATATTAATTTCTTTTTTACAATTATTGAATATTCAATATTTTTAAAGAAATTAAGATTATTTGTTCGAATTAAGTGATGAATAATCGTATTCTGATTACGATTTTATTTTATTACATCTTATTATAAGAACAAGGAAAGATTTACCATATATATTTTTTAAATAATATTACAATACAAAAATTTATGTGAAATTTACATAACAAAATTATTGATATTTTGTAAACGATACATATTTTTAATTGAATATTTGAAGATAATATTGTTTTAGCTGTATAAAAATCCGCAATTAAATCCAAGCAATTTCTCTTGCCATTCAATATTGAGTAAACTTGTTAATGATCCTTCGTGTTTTCTTCAATGTCAAGTATTTCGCAACAATTTCTTCTAGCTAATATTTTCTCTACAAATACTAAATCTCAAAAGTTTCATCAATTACAGACAACCACTCACGACTTCCTTCCACCATCTTCAAGTATCCTCAACCCATCTTCAATTTCTCCTTAAAACAAAAGGACTAACTTATGTCCATCGTTTCGAGTGAAATAAAATCAATTTATCAACCGGGATAAGTAAAGATACGTTATAGAACTACACAAATTAAATTTTATTTCATTTCACTACAACTAAGTCTTGTTCACAGGTGGAAAATCCTCCCGATCCGCCGGACAATTATGGCGGACGTGACTCGCCTTACGACAACGTGCAACCAACATCCAGAAGATCATCGCCGAAGAAACGCCCTTCCACGTTACCGTTGTTCATCGGTCAGCACACCAATATCGACGATCTGTTGGGAGACACGGCCACCTTGTGCCCAAGCCCGGTCCTGTCTCGTATCCGTAAACGCGAACGCATAGGGGAGGGTGAGTTGAGAAGGGAGGGTAAAGAGATTTAGAATCGATCAGGATTGCGCATCGGATACAATCGATACCGGGTTTAGAATAGTTTGAGATTAGGATTGTTAACGGGAGAATTGTGCGGTGCCTCTTTGAAGAGGATCAATAGCATTCGTCCTTTTAGAAATCGGATGAGCGTTGAATTGTCGGATAGACGTACGCGCTTAGAATAGTCGAAAGGGGAGCTGATAGGATTATAGAGTAATTCGTATGAACGGATTTTAGTGATTCTAATTCCCTTGATGAAAGAAAAGTTTGGGATATAACGAACCGTAATTGTAACTCTCGTAATGTGTAACTAATGTGTTGGAGAAATGAGTCAATTATGTTCTTCTAGGAAATAGATGAAATTTCATTAATTTGTAGGTACGTGTTTATTTGACCAAAGTCGTTTAATCTCGTAATTCATAGTTCCATTACATACTAGTTTCATTAATAAAATTATATGACGTCAGGAAAATATATAGACAATAAAATTTTATGATGATTAAGATATTGCAATCTTTAGTGGTAGATAATACTCATATATTCGTATTTCAATATATCGTATCGTTTACATTAATGTTGATTATTATTATTCTTTTTTTTTTCAATTAAAATGTACGAGATAAAATAAGATGCTGCACTTAGGGGTATAGAATATTATAGGCATTTCATATATTGATATTGATATTATTTATGTAGATTCGGGAGAAGAAAGTTCAGAATGCGAAGAGATCGACGCCACCCAAGTGATCATCCATGACAGCACTCCGCAGACACCTGTGATACAACGACGACATCGGTACGTTTCATGTCGATAATCGAACGTGAATTCCGAAACACGTGGCTGCTTGATTGTAACTAAGCAATTTTCTTCAGGGACAAAAACGAGAGACCTCAACCAGACGGCTACATTCCGGTGAGTTTTTTCCAATTTTTTCTCTCTCTCTCTCTCTCTTTCTCCTGTCTCTTCAAGTTTTTCACGTCATATCAGATACGACGTGATTAAATCATATTTTTCCACTTATATTTATTATTATCTTTTTTTCTTTTTTTTTTTTTTTTTAATTGAAAAGCGAACCGAACAATTTATATTGTTCGAAGTTTTATCATTTTGTCGTTCCACACGACAGTATGGAAGGGTGAGCGAAACAAGCAACAAAACTTTTCTCGTTTCTTCAATTTTCCAGCGAGACACGGATTCTCGCTATTCGCGCGCAATTCTTTTCATGATCAGTAGCTGAAGCAAAGTAGTGTGTAGATGGCCGTGGATAGAAGGACGAGTGCTCGAAAAAAACGCCAGACGAACAAAGACGAGAAGAGGGTAGACGACATCTAGAAGGAGTGGAAGTGTACGCGACATTATTGTTTCTCGTGAGGGATGTGCGAAAAGAGACTCTCCTTTTACTCCAGACTCCCTCTTTCCTCTGCATTTTTTTTTTCCTTCTTTCGTTTTACACGTAAAGTGCTAACAACAAAGGGTCGGTCTTCTGGAGTCACTTCCCCTGTGCACGAATCTTTCCTCGAATTTTCAATTACGTCGCGATAATTTTTAAAATTCAAACTATCCTGACGGAATATTACGTCTATCTTTATTGTTGAACAAAATTGAAGAATTTCGTGCATCAAAAATTATCAAAACCCACGAGGATTTTCGTCGACAGATTCATCAAATATCGAATATACTTCATGTATAATGATAGTATATAGGGTTCAAAAAATATTGATTGAAAAAGGGATTTTAACAACAACAATGACAACGATGAATCCTTTGTCCGATCAGTTCCTAGCCGTCGAGTCACTCATATTTTCCCGGAGCACTATAGAATTTTATCGCAACGGTGGCACCCTCCCGCATGAACTACCTCCCATCACGTTTCTATGGGTCCAGCAGCCCCTTTTGTGAGCTTGTCACCCCTCGTGGGGTCTCGTAGTAGCGGGACAACAATGAGAACAGCCGCACTTACGGTTACGCTCTACGTGCTGCGCCAGCTGATTATTTTTTCACCGCACAATTACCATCCCTGCCGTTTCATTTGGCTCTTCGGTCCCCATGCGTCTTTTTCTTTCTCTCTCTCTCTCTTCCTTTCTGAAAAGCTTCATCCTCGAAAATAACAAATCGCTGGATGGACTTCCCTAGCTATCTTTTATCCTATCTTTGCGGAAAATTGAAAAAAAAAAAAAAAAAAAGAGAACAGAAGAATGATGGTGGGGGTCCATAGAAAGCAGGTCGCTAAAATTTGTTTGACGACAATATTGTTTTGACGGAAAACAATGTGATGTGGACGCGTGTTCGTGGGTTTGTCCAGGATTTAGTTATTGGAAAGAATACGTGGCCTGTTTCCTAATTTCATTCCCAAATGTTGTTTGCAATTTTTTCTTTTCTTTTCTAAATTTTATCCTGTGGTAAATTCTATTTTCTAATTTGTCAAAAAGTTTTCTAATTCGTCGAATTAGGAGAAATATCTTTATTGGAAAAAAATGTATTGTGTAGATTTTGTTAAATTGATTGTTTTGTTAAATAATTAAATTTTTTAAATATTTTAAGTTTTAATAATTGAATTATTAACTTTATAATTACTTTTGAATACTTTTGAATGAGACATTATTATGTCACGTAATTTATGTGCATATTTAAATTGAACTTTGTACTAATAAAATAATGAATCATTGATAAATTTATTCAAAAGTAATATATAATAATAGATCTTTTTTAATTGCGTTCTTATGACACAATTCTTTACATCAATTGCTGACAAATCAGCGAATATCGATAATAAAGTTCACATATTGTATCAAACTTTTGATAAAATTATTATATCGAAGATAAGAAAATGAAGTTATTAATCAAATAGATAAAGATATTTCTGAATTAGTTTCTACATTTTCATCTATTATTAATTTTTATACATTTTTGAAAATTAGATAATTATTATTCCATGATTCGATATTATAAATTAATTTAAATCGATTATCATACATCACATTGTTATTAATTCGTAATTCCAATATATAATTACGGTAAATAACAATTTTAATAATAAAAGTAGCAAATATTGTCTTATAGTATTGTTCCAGGGTGCTCTTTGTAGAGACGGAATAGAGAGGGGGTTGGCCGCGTGGCGGCGCTACTGTCGCCTTAGTGGCGACAGGTGTCCGTGGCGTTCAGTGTCGCGACGACTGCTCGCGAGGCAAGGCATATTATTAGTTGTGAATTCAGTTCTTTTCCCTCATTTCATCTTCCCCAGTTTCCCCAAGTTCCGTGTTATTTTCGTTTTCGTATCGTGTGATCGATTAATGTGTGTATTTTGACGTGTGTTATACGCAATTACGACAAAGGTGACGCACGTTTTCATGCGCGGGAAGCGTGCGTGTCGTTCACTGAGTTTTTGTCGCGCAGACTCCGGTTCGACAGTTCGTTTACTGTATATATCGTTCTTCTTCTACCGGCTTCTGCTCCAAACGCTAAAAACATCAAGGCTGGCCAATTCAATCGAGAAATGTCGATTGATAATTGACCATTCAGTATAACAGGTAACGTGAAACTTTATCTATTAAGTACATTTGGGAGCGGACAATGGAGGAACTGTCAGTTTAATGGCCGTGTATATCGATCGAGATATCGTATGCGAGAAACGTCTCAATCGATATTTTCGGAGCTTCGATTATCTCGATTAGTTTGGAATGGACCTCTTGTAACCTCTCTTGCGAAAACACGTTATTTATTTTAAAAGTTAATTTAGTTACGTGTATTTTCTTTAATTATAGGTTCAGTGTATCTTTTTTTCTTCTTATTTATATATAGTATATTCGGTTGTCAATTAATTATCGTGATTTGTTTATATATAGGGATATTTTATCAACAAGATACGTAAAAATTTTTTTACGACTCGATGTAAGAAATTATATTATATAATTATTAATATTTTAAAGCTATTATTGGTCAAATTTTTCTTAAATTATTTGAAAAATAGTTGATTCGAACTCGTACTCGTTTTAAATGCATTTTAAAATTCGCGTAAATTTCTCTGAATATTATGAGAATTTTTTGGAAAAAAGTATTCGCATTTCTAACGAAATATAATCGACTCGTATATAAAACAGGCGGAGAAAGCAACGTCGTTGGTGAAATTCCTTTGATACCAGTAAATATACCGAAAAGTTGGCACTGGCCATAGAACGAGTTGTCGCCGGATCCGTGCAAAAACATCGGTCCAGTGAATTTGTTGATTCAGACGAGTTTGGAAATCCTCTTAGACACGATCTTACGTTACGATCGCATCTTGATCGTGAATCTTTCGTCGACTACAGGCACGATTACATTCGTGGCATGGCAGACTCGTTTTCCCTTCTATCTTCCTCCCCCTCGTTTCCTTTCATCCTTCTTGCCATTTTTCTTTCCTTCTCTCTCTCTCTCTCTCTCTCTCTCTCTCTCTCTCTCTTTCTCTATCGCTTCGCCCTCTGTCTTGCTTCAACGTTCATCTTTCTTTCTCGTTTATTCTTCAGTATTTCTCTCTTTATTCTTCATCTTTCTCCCTTTTTCTCTTCTGTGAACACCATCGAGCCGGTTCGCAGAAGAGCTAGCCCATGCAACGGGTAAGAACAATGCGAATAAGAGAGGATGACAAGACTGGTTGGTATGCGTGGATAATTGACACTTCGTAAATTCATTTTATCCGAATGTCGATTTTCTCGCGAATCTCTTCTCGAATAAGATATTAGTGTCTACGACCGTGGTTCGTGGAAACGTGAGAATCGATATTGTTCCTCTCATTTTTGTATCGAACATACCGTGCTTTTAAATCGGCATTGTGACTCGAACACCGTGTAGAAATTTCGCGTCATGCGCGGAGCTTGGAAGGCCGATGTTTTTGTATTTCTCGCGCGCAAGATAGGTTCGACACGGTGAATCTTACATGTACACATATAATAGTGTACATTCGTATGCGAAGATGTGTTAGGCCATAATATATAGAATCTAAGAAAACCTATGTCTCTGTTTCGTATACTTTTTTTTTAAATTTTCTTTTCAACAATTGTTGTTCTCAATTATTGCGAAAGAAATAAGAGGTTTTCGTTGATTGGTATAAATGTTATTAAGAAGAAATAGCTATATTGTACGATTCTCTAAGAAAAGGTATGTCGAAGTGTTCCTAACCTTGAGGATAAATGAAAAATTTCCTCTTCCTATCTTTCCACTTTCGGTTGATCGAGTGAAAGGAAAATCTAAAGGTTATCGACCGATCGAAAACGATTTCTTATTCGTCTAACTGTTCAGAGTCAAAGGTTGTTACAGTTCCGACATTGTCACTTTCACATGTACGAGCTAATACATAAATATATACGCATACAATCTTTTTTCGAATATTGTATTATATTTCTGAATATTTATGTTTACGAACAAATAGAAAAAAAATATCTCTGTTTCTCTTGTTAGTATTTCTAACTTCTCGTTAGTAATTTTAACGTCAGAAATATTCACGTTACCGTTTAAAAACCAATTTCCAGGTACAAATTCGGAACCGATCGATCGATGGAAGAACGCGAAAAATTGTGGAGACAGAATAGCGGCGTTTTTTCCCTCCATCACGAATCGTCGCTCTGACGAAAATAAATCGGCAGCTTTTCACGCTCGTTCGCGGTGTGTCTCTCCTCTCCCTTTCTCTCTCTCTCTTTCTCTCTCTTTCTCTTCCTCTCTTCCTCTCTCTCTCTCTCTTTTTCTCGTTCTCATAAAACAAACTCACGGAACGGACACGAGAAGCGGTCGGAGTAGAGAAAGAGAATATCAGTTCACCGCGATCAAGGTATTCACGTGAGCCTCTGTTTCGTCGTCGAGCCGGTAGACGCGAATGGAACGTGAGGAGGAAGAAAGAGACACGGGGAAAAAGGAACAGCGGGCCAGAGCGTACGGTGGAGACG